ATACAGAGCAGACGTTTGTCTGGGGGGCGACAATAGTCCAACTTCTTATATATAACGCGGGAGACATCAAGGCATACCTGACAAACACATTTTAATGGCTGTGTACCGTTACAACAAAAGCCCGCTATCAGGTTTCATTTGTCAACAGTTTTCACCTTCAGATCTTGGTCCACCTGCCGGAATGACCTGCCCATAGCAGACATAATCCTTTCTAGATACACAAGTGTTACAACGTCAAATGGTCATTTTTCTCTCCTTCTTAAGGTTTTGTTCCCGTGGCGTAGTAACAGAGAGTACAACACCCTAAAATTATTGAAGGAGGTTCTCTTTCACAAGGTCACACATCGACCTCTGACCTCCAGGGAAGGTCTGTGATAGCTAGTAGGCTCGTCCCAGGGCACAGTAACAGTACAACACCCTAAAATTATTATAGAAGGTTCTCCTTCTCAAGGTCACACAGCGACCTCTGACCCTCACAACCATACAGTGTTCACATCAACATATTTGTCTGACTTTGTGAATGAAACCATTTTTGAGGAGAGGAACAACAGTTGTGATAGAATTGTTTGACACAGGGAGCTTATACGCCAGTGGTACAAAACAGGTATTATCCAATGATTTACATGTGTACAATGGTGTGACTGAAGTCACAAAATAGCCTTTACATTATAACCACCACACACAGTACTTCAGTGATAAGTGTCTTAATGGTTCGAGAAACCCACTGTATCCTNCTTCATACACAGGAATATCACTGTTGGGGATGTTAATCACCACACAGGGTTCCTGTTCCCACCTATCGGCCAACTTGTTTTTACCCTTGAGCCCTACCTTTCTTACAAGGATACGGTCTCCAACCTCAAGCTTTGAATCCCGAACCTTCCGGTCATACCGGGTTTTGTTCTGTTCGGATTTCTTCTTAGCTTCATTTCGAGCTGCCTTATACGCCACCTCCATCCTAGTCTTAAGTTTGCTGACATAGGAGGAGGGATCTACTGTACCCTGCTGTCCAGGGTCAGTACCCAAGAACGCGTCCACTGACAACCGGGGGTGCCATCCAAACATGAGGAAATGGGGAGAGTACCCCGTGGCATCACTCCTGGTTGCATTATAGATCTGTTACATTGGCGCCCGCGTAGGGACCCGGGTAATATTGACAAAAATACTCAGCGATACTTGCAAAGGAATCTCTATGACCCCTGGAAAACCCGGGACGAGTTCTTTCTCAAAGGGGGAGTATGTCACCCTGGTAAAATGCTAGCCACTTCCTACCGTCTCGGCTAGGGAGAATTTCTCTTTAGCTCATTCGGTAGAGCGTAAGACTAGGAAGCCAGAGGTCCCGGGTTCGACTCCTAGCGGAGGCATTGAAAAAATAATGACCTCTGTTACACTTATATACTCACCAACCACGACTGAAACATTATTGTTTATGACTTCTAATTTGGGTCAAGGTCATCTTGGGGTTAAACTCAAATAGCATTATCCAAACTAACAAACTGTAAAAGATCAGAAAAATAAGATTGGACCAAACCTGAACAGATGTAAATGATTCAGCAGAACACTGGACCAGTACAGAAAGTGTCGACATGATTGAGTCAGCTGACGTTAANGAGTATGTCACCCTGGTAAAATGCTAGCCGCTTCCTACCGTCTCGGCTAGGGAGAATTTCTCTTTAGCTCATTCGGTAGAGCGTAAGACTAGTAAGCCAGAGGTCCCGGGTTCGACTCCTAGCGGAGGCATTGAAAAAACATTTCCTTTTCGTCCTGTNGTAGACAGGATTGAGTCAGCAGACGTTAGAACATTGGACCAGTACAAAAAGTGTAGACAGGATTGAGTCAGCAGACGTTACAACGTACAGCTTACGACCATAAAGCAACGCCATTCTATGTTGTGACGACATCTTTGTACATTGTTTTGACAATCGACGGAGTGAGGACATTGTGGTACATTGACGCGACATTTGTGACCAATAGGGGGCTACCACATTGATCCTAATTTACGTTCGGAGATTTTTGTTGAGCGGTGGAATGGCATAAAACTTGTCATAGCCACCAAACTATGCCCAAGTTACAAATCAAGGACAGTAATATATGCTGTTCAGACACAATTAATCTAATTATCTCCCTTTGATTCAACCCTGGCCTGTAAGTCATGGCTTCGTTCCGGTTTTACAGCCTCCGTTGATCAACCCCATCGGATTACTCCGCACTCAACCTTCGGGTCACAGCTAAATTCAATTTGGGTTTTATTTATGTCTTATCATTTTAGAGACCAAATGGAATTCACTTAAGGTTGGACTACAGGACATTTGATGTGAAACAATTCTCAAGTAATCTATTAGATATGTCAAAAATATCTCCATGGTATACCCATCACACAAAGAAAAGAATCAGTTTTATGGAGGATAACTGTGATAAATAGTGTGAATAATATCCCATATAAGACTGTTTCTAGGCTCGACGTCTATATCTGTTTTCCAATTTACCCGTCCAGGAACTGCGACACATACTACCTTGTGAATACCTAGGACAGGGGAGGTAACTCAGATTCTACATAGAACCTTATCATAAATTACCCCCCAAGATACAACATCCAAATATGGCACAGGGTTTCTAAGGAAAAGTCGAACATATTATTGTTTACGCAAGATGGACAATTGCTTGCGTTCTAAGAACATTGCATTACGGAAGAAAAACATTCACAGTACGTCACCTGACTGACTGAAGTGACTCTAANGCAATAGGTCACTTGAGCTAAAGCTCAGGTGACCTAAAAATACAAACATGCAAGGTTCTTGCTGTAAAGACATAATTCGAGCAGGGATTGTGCATTAGATTTTAATTGATCGTATTTTACTACTGTTTCCACTTTTCTTAGATAAATGCTTACTTTGATGTGTGTTCCATTTTAATTTTGTTCAACTGATCTGATACAAAATGTCGGTAAAAAATTGAGAAAGTGTTGTATATATATATATATAGAAGAGTTGTGTCACCTTGCGGACACATTGAACAAATGATAACCGGTTTGACAGGTAATGAGCTTTTTATACCCAGCGAGACCCAAACTACTCGTTACCAAGCAAGGACCAAACTAAAATGTCGGCACTTCCTTAGAAACATTAGTCGGAAGAGATGGGGAAGATCTTAAAACAAGACCCTGGACAGTATAGGAGAGGACAGGAGATCCTTACCTTGGACAGTAAAGGAGAGGACAGGATATCCTAACCCTGGACAGTAAAGGACAGGATATCCTAACCCTGTCAACTCATTTACTGTCCAGGGTTAGGATATACTGTCCTTTACTGTCCAGGGTTAAGACCTCCTGTCCTTTACTGTCCAGGGTTAGGAACTCCTGTCCTTTACTGTCCAGGGTTAGGATCGCCTGTCCTCTCCTTTACTGTCCAGGGTAAGGATCTCCTGTCAACTCATTTACTGTCCAGGGTTAGGATATACTGTCCTTTACTGTCCAGGGTTAAGAGCTCCTGTCCTTTACTTTCCAGGGTTAGGATCTCCTGTCCTCTCCTTTCCAGTAAAGGAGAGGACAGGATATCCAAACCCTGGACAGTAAAGGACAGGAGAGCCTAACCCTGGACAGTAAAGGAGAGGACAGCAGATCCTAACCCTGGACAGTAAAGGACAGGAGCTCTTAACCCTGGACAGTAAAGGACAGGATATCCTAACCCTGGACAGTAAATGAGTTGACAGGAGATCCTTACCCTGGACAGTAAAGGAGAGGACAGGAGATCCTAACCCTGGACAGTAAAGGACAGGAGATCCTAACCCTGGACAGTAAAGGACAGGAGATCCTAACCCTGGACAGTAAAGGACAGGAGTTCCTAACCCTGGACAGTAAAGGACAGGAGATCCTAACCCTGGACAGTAAATGAGTTGACAGGAGATCCTAACCCTGGACAGTAAAGGAGTGGACAGGAGATCATAAATATCTTATCTGCAGTGACAGGCTCCCCTTATAACCCTCTCATTTACTTGCAATGCCAATTGTAACAATTAACACAGAATTGTCAAAGAATTGTATGAAAAGCAGGGAGAGTTGAGCCTTTATTGACAGTTAATGTGTGCTGACCAGCAGGTCCATTGTGGCTGGATCTGACCAGTGACAGTCACAGGTGGTCAGCATTCTCTGGCTGCTTCATCCTGTCCTGGCTAACTAATTGATTTGAAATTTTAATGATAGTAAAAGGTGTATCACAGAAGGCCAAAGGTATGACTGGACTAAGTCTGGTCATAAACTTTCACAGCTATTATCAGCTGGACAGAGTGACCTGGCCAGGTAAGGGTCACCTTACACACTGACCAGCACCAATTAGACTGACCCAATGATTTATTTGCTGTTTGATAGACAGAGTACAATACTTTCCAGGGGTGTATAAAATGTTTCTTCTCCTTATTGTCTTGTTTGGGGAAGGAAAGGATTTTTGGAATCAGCTGCTTTTCAACTACAAATAAGGGTGTGGGAACTGGCTATGTATGCTATTTTTCTACTTAAAAAACAAAATGTGTTCCAATGAAAGTATTCCAGTCCAAGATCTCAGGTGGTCTTAACAGTACATGATGAAGTAGGGATAGGATACCCAGTGTAGATTTGTATTTTTTATGATCTACCTACCTTTTGTAGAAATCTTCTCGGCCCTGTCACAGAGGTGCAACTCCTCACATTTATATGGGAAGTGTCTTGCCAGGTGAACAGGTATAAAACTCAATGTTTATGAATGAGGTATTTTTCTCAGATTCTTCACACATTGTTGTCAAGGTTTAATCTTTCCTACCCTCTACTCTCATTTTGTACATCATTGCACCTACAAGTAAGAAAGATATACACTAGATAAAACACTGGAAAGTAACAAGTCAGGTATCATAACACAGGAAAGTAACGAGTTAGATATTATAACACAGGAAAGTAACAAGTTAGATATCAGAACACAGGAAAGTAACAAGTTAGATATTATTACACAGGAAAGTAACGAGTTAGATATTATAACACAGGGAAGTAACATGTTAGATATCATAACACAGGAAAGTAACAAGTTAGATATAATAACACAGGAAAGAAACATGTTAGATATTATAACACAGGAAAGTAACAAGTTAGATATCATAACACAGGAAAGTAACATGTTAGATATTATATCACAGGAAAGTAACAAGTCAGATATCATAACACAGGAAAGTAACGAGTAAGATATTATAACACAGGAAAGTAACAAGTTAGATATAATAACACAGGAAAGAAACATGTTAGATATTATAACACAGGAAAGTAACATGTTAGATATTATAACACAGGAAAGTAACTAGTTAGATATTATAACACAGGAAAGTAACAAGTCAGGTATCATAACACAGGAAAGTATCGAGTTAGATATTATAACACAGGAAAGTAACATGTTAGAGATCATAACACAGGAAAGTAACGAGTTATATATTATAACACAGGAAAGTAACAAGTTAGATATCATAACACAGGAAAGTAACATGTTAGATATTATATCACAGGAAAGTAACAAGTCAGATATCATAACACAGGAAAGTAACGAGTAAGATATTATAACACAGGAAAGTAACAAGTCAGATATGATAACACAGGAAAGTAACGAGTTAGATATTATAACACAGGGAAGTAACATGTTAGATATCATAACACAGGAAAGTAACAAGTTAGATATTATTACACAGGAAAGTAACGAGTAAGATATTATAACACAGGAAAATAACGAGTTAGATATTATAACACAGGAAAGCAACGAGTTAGATATTATAACACAGGAAAGTAACTAGTTAGATATTATAACACAGGAAAGTAACATGTTAGAGATCATAACACAGGAAAGTAACGAGTTATATATTATAACACAGGAAAGTAACAAGTAAGATATTATAACACAGGAAAGTAACAAGTCAGATATGATAACACAGGAAAGTAACGAGTTAGATATTATAACACAGGGAAGTAACATGTTAGATATCATAACACAGGAAAGTAACATGTTAGATATTATAACACAGGAAAGTAACATGTTAGAGATCATAACACAGGAAAGTAACGAGTTATATATTATAACACAGGAAAGTAACAAGTAAGATATTATAACACAGGAAAGTAACAAGTTAGATATAATAACACAGGAAAGAAACATGTTAGATATTATAACACAGGAAAGTAACTAGTTAGATATTATAACACAGGAAAGTAACATGTTAGATATCATAACACAGGAACGTAACAAGTTAGATATTATAACACAGGAAAGAAACAAGTTAGATATCATAACACAGGAAAGTAACATGTTAGATATTATATCACAGGAAAGTAACAAGTCAGATATCATAACACAGGAAAATAACGAGTTAGAGATTATAACACAGGAAAGTAACGAGTTAGATATTATAACACAGGGAAGTAACATGTTAGATATCATAACACAGGAAAGTAACATGTTAGATATTATAACACAGGAAAGTAACTAGTTAGATATTATAACACAGGAAAGTAACATGTTAGATATTATAACACAGGAAAGTAACAAGTTAGATATTATAACACCGGAAAGTAACGAGTTAGATATTATAAAACAGGAAAGTAACAAGGTAGATATTATTACACAGGAAAGTAACAAGTCAAAGTCTGCCTTTATTACAAAGCCTTCATTTTTTACACTTAAAATTCTTAGAATATCATTATTCCTTTTATTTAATCATACAGCAATAAAAATATTCAATTTCAAAAGAAATATAACAAAAAAACAAATTTGACTTGTAACAAATATAAAATAACGCCAAAGACTGTACTGCTGTGGTGGTCTGTGTATTGAATATCTGCTAAATGACATATAGGTTGTTTACGTAAAGGTTATGGTGTTTCAAATTGAACTGTAACCTTTTCGGTAAAACCCTATAGCTCACATATACATTAAAGTAAAGCCATTTTTATCAGGATCTACAATCGAAAGATAGAATTTTATTGTGCTTTATGTTTTAAAGTGTAGTGTTAGCACCAGCCTTCTGTACGCCTGACATACAGAGTATCTCTCCAAGGATAATCTTTTTATTCAAATACCACACGTTTTAAAATATCAATGTCCTCATAAAAAACGACATACCCTCTCTAGTCAATCCCATAAAATCTTATTTCTAGCTGTATGTTACCGACAGATATCATTGAATCACTTGGAAATCTATCATAATTAAGGAGTATCCAAAAGTACGAGTTTCTGCCACCTTACTGCGACATGGAGACTTAAGGATGTATGTTACCTTACTGTGACATGGAGACTTACGGATGTATGTTACCTTACTGTGACATGGAGACTTAAGGATGTATGTTACTTTACTAAGACATTGAGACTTAAGGATGTATAATACCTTACTTTGACATGGAGACTTAAGGGTGTATGTTACCTTACTGCGACATGGAGACTTAACTCTTTCCGTACCGCAACTCCGGTCCGGATTCCGTACCGGATGTACTTATTAGACTCGCCCCCGCGCATATAACAAAATGGTGGATTTTTAATGTACTTTTTAGATTAGGTGTAACTGCCGCAAGAATTAAACAGGTAACCGTGAACAAATATTGTTATTGTTTCATGTTCTGGTTCATAGACAAACACTTCTTAATTTTCGCAGCATAATGACTAACTGGCAGCTGATTATGACTGATTAATCGACATTTGTCTGGCAATAGACGATACGATTCCTTGTATTTAACACAGCGGTGTAGTGCAGGTTTCCAATGGGGTTTGATTTAGGTTACGAATGTGAAGTCGTTGAGTTTTTTTCTAAATACAAGTAGATTTCATCAAGACTTATATTAGAATATTCAAATTTACTTCCATAAGTCTCAACAAATATCTGATGATGAATTTACAAGTGTTCGTATCGAATTAAGTTGCCGCCATCTTGTTTACATTTGAGGCACCAAACGCAAACATCTTACGGCAAAAAAGTGTACTCTGCACAACTAAAATTATTTCTTCCAAACTGATGGGTTCTGATTTTAGCGATAATTAATTGTTTTTTCGCGACAGTCTCGTGCGATAACCAACTAAACATCAGGCAGGTTACATCAAAGGCTGTTGTCGTGTGTACACGACAACGGGGATGAGACGGCCCTTTATTTTGTCGTCTGTACACGACAACGGTACGGAAAGAGTTAAGGATGTATGCAATCTCACTGCGACATGGAGACTTAAGGATATATGCTACCTTACTGTGAAATGGAGACTAAAGGATATATGCTACCTTACTGTGACATGGAGAATTAAGGACGTATGCTACCTTACTGTGAAATGGAGAATTAAGGACTTATGCTACCTTACTGTGACATGGTGACTAAAGGATATATGCTACCTTACTGTGACATGGAAACTTAATGAAAATAGACACAATATACCCAAAAGTGTTATTTATATATACCCATGTAAACTAGAGTAACAACTTAACCCTCTCCCAAAGGGAGAGCAAATGACACAGGGATTATAAAAGGCCCTGATATTCTTTCCATCCAAGCAGAGAAATTGACTGTAGTACATCTAAATCTGGAAAAGAGGGTTTTTGAAATATTGGTTTATTTTCCCTTTGGGGCCCTGCCCTGGCCTCTGGGGTTGGGGCAAGAATCCCAATTTTACAATTTGATACCCTCTTCCACCAAGGATTTTTCAGAACAAGTGTGAAAAAAGCCATCGACTGGTTCTGTAGAAGGACACACATGATGCCAGACATAAGGTGATCAGAAGAAGGTCACTTGAGTCTTTGGCCTAGAAATACAGCAAGAATCGGAACATATCTATCNTTTCTGATCGACCCGAAAAATAACAACACTTTGTCAGGACCATGAGGCGATCATTCCTACCAACTTTCAGTTCAATCGGCCCGGCAGAACTTGACTTTAAGTTTGAAATGTAAAATGTTAACGGACGACGGACGACGGACGACGGACGACGGACGACGACGGACGAAAACGGATAGCAATAGGTCACTTGAGCTAAAGCTCAGGTGACCTAAAAACCTGATAGAAAACCCGTCTGTGAGTGTAAGACATCCATTGAGCTGACGTAATGACAAAGGTGGGGGTATAAAACTCTATTCTAATCAATAGTTTTGGTGGTGGCTGCGGCTAGGAGAGCAGGAATATGTTCCAGATGGACTAGTTTAGGTTGTAGTGGCCTAACCAGAACTGATAAAAAAACCTTATAAATGTCACTGGATTTACAGCTTTGTACACTATTATCAAAGAAGGGGTGAAAGCACCATTATACACTGCACAGACACAGGGAAATGGATCTATATAAGGGCTCTGTTCTAAATCTAAGAAGTATGGTGTAAAGAGATTTCCCTTTTGTTGGCACAGATTTCCTTGTTTGCTGACCAGTTAGTCTGTAGACAGGCCCCTAGAGTCCATTATTCAGGACACCAGGCTGACCTTAACACATCTGATCTATATTGTTTCAGATATTGATTATAGTATAAATGTAAGAGTAAAAATTGTAGACGTAGCTGTACGACTACAGGAGTAGGATCACAGACCTAGCTGTACGACTACAGGAGTAGGATCACAGATGTAGCTGTATGACTGCATGAGCAGAATCACAGACGTAGCTGTACGACTACATGAGCAGGATCACAGACGT